CTGTGAAAAAGGTCTTTATTTCATCTTTGTTTTTGAAAGATCACTTAGTATAGAATTCTAGACTGGCAAGGTTGGTGTTCTTTTTCAGTACATTAAAGATGTTATTTCATTGTCTTTAGCTTTGTATTATTTTGTATGAGAAATGTGTTCTCTCCAAACTTTATTCCTCTGTATCTAATACCTTTTTTTCCCCCTTCAGCTCCTTTTAAGATTTCCTCTTACCATTTGTTTTAAGGAGTTTGATTAGCTTATACCTTGCTATCGTTTTTTTTTCCTTTGTTTTCTTTTTTCTTCTTCTTTTTTTGAGACAGATTCTCGCTCTGTCGGCCAGGCTGGAGTGCAGTGGCATGATCTTAGCTCACTGCAATCTCCACCTCCTAGGTTCAAGTGATTCTCATGATGCCTCAACCTCCCGAGTAGCTGCGATTACAAGCGTGTGCCATTGCACCTAGCTAATTTTTGTATTTTTAGTAGAAATGGGGTTTCACCACATTGGCCAGGCTGGCCTCAAATTCCTGACCTGGGATTACAGGCGTGAGCCACCATGCCCAGACTTTTGTTTCTTCTGCTTAGATTTCATTGAGCTTTTTGGATCTGTGGAGGATTTATTGTTCTCATGAAGTGTGGAATTTTTTTTTTTTTTTTTTTTTGAGACAGAGTTTCGCTCTTGTTACCCAGGCTAGAGTGCAATGGCGCGATCTCGGCTCACCGCAACCTCCGCCTCCTGGGTTCAGGCAATTCTCCTGCCTCAGCCTCCTGAGTAGCTGGGATTACAGGCACGCGCCACCATGCCCAGCTGATTTTTTAGATTTTTAGTAGAGACGGGGTTTCACCGTGTTGACCAGGATGGTCTTGATCTCGCGACCTCGTGATCCACCCGCCTCGGCCTCCCAAAGTGCTGGGATTACAGGCTTGAGCCACCGCTCCTGGCAAAGTGTGGAATTTTTTTCTGTCCTTCTTCAAATATTTTTTTCTGCCCTCCTTCAGTGATTCCAATTATACGTAATTGTAGTTGTACAATTATGTGTGAAGTTTTTCCACAGTTCATTAATACTGTTTACTTTTTAAAAACTTTATTTTGAGATACTTACAGATTCACATGCAGTTAGAAATAATCCAGAGAGGTCTTATACCCATTCCCCAATTGCCCCCCACCACACCATGGTAATATCTTATATAACTATAGTTCAGTATCATAACCACTTTCATTTTTGTTTCTATTTCATTTTTGATAGTTTTTATTGCTATTTCATGAAGTTCTCTAATCTTCGACAGTGTCTAAACTGCTATATTTTTCATCTCAGACATTGTAGTTTTTATTTCTAGAAGTTTGATTTGCATCTTTTTTTTTTTTTTTAATTGAGACTTTCTTGCTCTGTTGCCTAGGCTGGATTGCAGTGGCACAATCACAGCTCAGTGCAATCTCTACCTAATGGGCTCAAGAGATCCTCCCACCTCAGCTCCCTGAATACTGGAACTGCAGGTGCATGCCACCATGCCTGGCTAATTTAAAAATAATTTTTTTTTTTTAGGGAAATGAGATCTCAGTATGTTGCCCAAGCTGGTCTTAAACTCCTGGACTCAAGTGATCCTCTGGCCTTGGCCTCCTAAAGTGCTAGGATTACAGGCATGAGCCATTGTACCCACCCAAGATTTGCATGTTTTTTTTGTTTTTGTTTTTTTTTTTTTTTTTTTAGACGGAGTTTCGCTCTTGTTACCCAGGCTGGAGTGCAATGGCGCGATCTCGGCTCACCGCAACCTCCGCCTCCTGGGTTCAGGCAATTCTCCTGCCTCAGCCTCCTGAGTAGCTGGGATTACAGGCACGTGCCACCATGCCCAGCTAATTTTTTGTATTTTTAGTAGAGACAGGGTTTCACTATGTTGACTGGGATGGTCTGGATCTCTTGACCTCGTGATCCACCCGCCTCGGCCTCCCAAAGTGCTGGGATTACAGGCTTGAGCCACCGCGCCCGGCCGATTTGCATGTTTTTAAAAGAGCTTCCTTGTCTCTACTTATTATGTACAATCTTTTCTCTGGCTTCTTGAACATCTAGAATATAATTATAATAACTTTAATGCTTTTGTCTACTAATTTTGTCACCAGTGCCATTTCTGGGTTTCTTTTTTTTTTTTTTTTTTTTTTTTTGAGACGGAGTTTCACTCTTGTTACCCAGGCTGGAGTGCAGTGGCGCAATCTCGGCTCACCGCAACCTCCGCCTCCTGGGTTCAGGCAATTTTCTGCCTCAGCCTCCTGAGTAGCTGGGATTACAGGCACGCAGCACCATGCCCAGCTAATTTTTTGTATTTTTAGTAGAGACGGGGTTTCACCATGTTGACCAGGATGGTCTTGATCTCTTGACCTCGTGATCCACCCTCCTCGGCCTCCCAAAGTGCTGGGATTACAGGCTTGAGCCACCGCGCACGGCCTTCTGGGTTTCTTTTAATTGATTTTTTTTTTATCATTATGGTTCATATTTTTCTGATTTGCATGCCTAGTAGTTTTTAATTAGATGGCAGATATTATGAATTTTACCTTATTGGGTACTAGATATTTTTTATTCTTATAAATATGCTTGATTCTTGTTCTTGGATGTAGTTACTTAGAAAGTGCTTCATCTGGCCGGGCGCGAAAGCAAATTAAAACCACAATGAGGCCGGGTGTGGTGGCTCACACCTGTAATCTCAGCACTTTGGGAGGCCGAGGCAGGCGGATCAGCTGAGGTCAGGAGTTCAAGAGCAGCCTGGCCAACATGGTGAAACCCTGTCTTTAAAAATAAAAAAAATTAAAAAAAATAAAACCACAATGAGATATCACCTTGCACGTGTTAGAGTGGCTGTTATAAAAAAGACAAGAGATAATTGTTGATAATAAGGGTATGGAGCAAAAGGAACCCTAGTACACTGTCAGTGGGCATATAGATTGGTACAACCATTATGGAAAACAGTATGGAGGTTCCTAAAGAAATTAAAATTATAACTACCATGCGACCTAGCAATTCCTCTTCTGAGTGTATACCTAAAGGAAATGAAATCACCACCTCATAAAGGTATCTGCCCTCTCGTGTTCAGTGCAGCATTAATTGACAATAGTCAAGATATGGAAACATCCTAAGTGTTCATAAATGGATGAATGGGTAGAGAAAATATATATACAATGGGATACTATTTAGCCTTAAAAAAGGAGATCGTGCCACTTGCCATAGCGTAGATGGACCTGGAGGTCATTATGCTAAGTACGCAGAAAGAGAAAATACTGCATGATCTCATATGTGGGGGAGAAAGCCAAATATGCGGTGGTATAATATAATAAATATAAAGAAATAAAACTGGTTACCAGGGATAGGATGGGAGTGAGAGGAGAAAATGGGAAGATGTAGGTCAAAGGATACAAAGTAGCAAATATGTAAGAGGAGCAAGTCCAACACACAGCATGAGGACTGCAGCTAATGCAATTGTATTGCATTGGGAATTTCTATGAAATAAGTGCATTTTAGCTGCTCTTATCACAAAAAAGTAACTATGTGAGATGATAGATACATTAATCTGCTTCATTATGGTAACCATTTTACTTGTCTCTATGTATCCTATAACATCATGTTGTAAATCTCAAATATATACATAAAATTTCATTTTTTAAAAAAGGAGAGAGTAATCAACTGTGTCAAAAGCTGCTGTAGGTCAGATGAGATTAAGGCTGAGAAGTGAACACTAGCATTTGGCGAGGTCAAGATCAGTGGTGACTTTGGTAAGAATGGTTTCATTGAAGTCATGGGACAAAAGCCTGAATGGAGTAGGTGTGAGAGAATATGGACACAGGACAAAAGAGATGGCGGGGGTGGGGGGGGAGAAGGGGGGAGGGGGAAAAAAAAGGGAGATGGCCTCAAAGTAATTTTTCTGTAAAGGAGAGCAAGAAAAGGGAAGGTGGCTGGAGAATTGGAGTTCAGAGAGGATTTTTTCAACAGCGGTTAATGATTACAGCTAATATGCATTCAGCAATTAACACAACAAAATCTCTGCCTCATAAAGCTTACATTTTAGTGCTGGGTGGGGGCAGGAAGATAGAAAATAATAAAGAAACACAGACTTATATTAAACTGGCTACGAGATGTAGCCACTCATATCATACGGACATATTCAAATGATATTATCTCCTCTCCTCCCTTCCCCCACCTTTTCCTATGTTTCTCTTCCTTGTTTTTGTATTGTAAAAAATGCCACATTGAGGACGGAATCCTGTGCCTTATCCCTTGCAAGCATCCTGTCCTCAAACTCAGGCGTGTTTTATTTTTTTGCTTCACAAACAGTTCTCAGGTCTGCTCCCTTCTTGCCATCTCAACCTTGGCCCTTTAGCATTCACTTCTCTTCTGGATTGCTACTTCACCCTCTTAACTGGAGTCTCTGCCTTCATCCTTCCTCTTTAATCTGTTCTCTGCAATGTAGCCAGTCGTCTTTTAAAAATATAACCTGAGTTTGGCCGGGCGCGGTGGCTCAAGCCTGTAATCCCAGCACTTTGAGAGGCCGAGGCGGGTGGATCACGAGGTCAAGAGATCGAGACCATCCTGGTCGACATGGTGAAACCCCGTCTCTACTAAAAATACAAAAAATTAGCTGGGCATGGTGGCGCGTGCCTGTAATCCCAGCTACTCAGGAGGCTGAGGCAGGAGAATTGCCTGAACCTGGGAGGCGGAGGTTGCGGTGAGCCGAGATCGCACCATTGTACTCCAGCCTGGGTAACAAGAGCGAAACTCCGTCTCAAAAAAAAAAAAAATATATATATATATATAAAACCTGAGTTTTAAGGGACTTGCTCAAGACCACAAAATTAGTAGAGCTAAGATTTGATTTCCTTATGTTATGCTCCTTTTGGGGCTGGCTTTATGTAGGGTGTAGGAAGGAACTGGATCATCTCAAGCTAAGTAGGATATGAACATTGCCAGAAATGCATTTTTTTGTGTATCTGACAGCTCATCAATTTGTGTGATGTTGGTTTCTTTTTGTAGGTGCACGGGTTTCATATTCCAGAAGGTTGGAAAGTTGGCTGCAACAGCTGTGGGAGGTGGATTTTTTCTCCTTCAGGTCTGTATGTGAAATGTTCTCAGATGTTTGGAAATTCCACCTGCCACTTAAGGAATGCGGTGCAGGGAGTTGTAATACACTACAGTAGCTTTTGCACTTGTTTTTATTTACTATTTCAAATGCTAATGACCATTTGAGTCAAATTTTATCCATTATACTAGTAAATGTTACTTACCAGCCACATTTTATTTCCTCATTTCGGCACAGAAGTGCAAATTCCTTATCATAGCTCCCTTAAAAGAGTTTTTAAGGCCAGCTGAAATATTAAGCAGATGTGATTTCAAAACTGCAAGTAGGCTAGGATGCTTTAGTTTCATATTCTAATATATCTAGCTTTTACAGAGGGGACATTGAGCATTTGATCAGAAGTGGGAGCCAAGTGACAATGCAGACAGTGCTGTCTTCTTGACCCATAGTTTCAGAACCAGTGGTTGTCAGTTCTGTAGGAGAGACTAACAAGCAAGACTTGAAAAACAAAAAGGGAGCAGTTCCTCCAAAAACAAAAGAAAACCGACATTTGATTGTACTGGGCACACATTTCTTAGCTCTGCAGCATTGGTATTCAAACTTGCCTCCACATTGGAATCACCTGGGACTTTTTAAAAGAGCCAACATGTATCACCCCCAACCCACAGTCTGATTTCATTGGAAAACTTAAAACTCTTGAGGTGATTCTACTGTGCAGCGGTAGGTAGAGCTGTTCTGCTGTGGGAGCCATAACTTGCTGAATCAAGGCAGAGTCTCTGAATTCACAGCCTGTTGTCTCTTCCCACAGTTGGCATCCTTACTTTGGCAAGGTAACTTCTGCATTAGCACCATGATTGGAGTGAGTTCTGCAGATAGGTCAGATGAAAATCAAATGTATTGAAGAGGGAAACTGGTAACTGGCTGGAGCTGGGTTGAGTGTGGTACTGCTGCATGACAAATTCCCCCAAACCTAATGGCTTCAAATAATGATCACTTTATTCTCTCTCATGGTTACAGGAGTTTGGGGAGGGTTAAGGTAGGTGCTTGTGGATCAGAGTCTCATGTGGTTACAGGCCAGATGATCAGAGGGCTGGGGTAGGTCTGGACTGGCTGGGCCTCTTTGTCTCTCTGTCTCTATCTTCCCTCCTACTCTCCTTATTTCCCCCCTCTCCATAGCGTCAGTGCTTTTCCATGTGATCCCCTGGGCGTGAGCTGGCATAGGCTTCCTCTTAACTACCATGACTTCAGGACTCCCAAGCACAGTGCTCCAGAAATATGGTGTAAGTTGCATCTCCTTTCTTGCCCAAGACTCAAAAGTCATGGAGCATCACTTTTGTTGGCTGTCTCCCTGTGGGCTTGTTAGGTGCTGGCTCTTCACACCTCTCTCTCCTTTCTCTTGACCCTTCAGGCAGAAGTGCAGTAACAGCTCTATCCCTGTGGTTTCCCTTGCATGCCGCCCCAGACTCCATAAACATCTTAATATTGCTTTGAAATGTCTTAATTTGAGTGTGACCTCTGTTTCTTTTTGGGCCCCTGACAGAAATAATTGGTATTGCAAGTGTCATGTTATCTGTCACTAGAGGGGTGAGAGCAGGAGGCAAGCATAATGTTGAGAGATCAGTTATATCAGGAGTTATAGTTTGATATAGGGATCCAGTTTCCTTTTCTCCATACTGATAATTGAGCAGAATTTAGTGAATAATTCTTCCCATTCCCAGCATTGACAGCATTGTCTCTTTCATATATGAAAATCCATGTATGTGTGGCTGTGATTCTGGTTTCTGTGTTCTGTTCCACTGCTCAACTCTCCATCTTTATGGCAGTACTAAAGCTTAATATTTGGTGCCATGCAGATTCCTCCACCTTAATCTTCAGGAGTGTTGCAGCTACTTTTGTGTTTCTGCTTGTTCACCTGAATTTTAGCTCAGAGTTGTCAGTTATTTAAAAAAATCCCGTTGAAATTTTTATCGGAATTGCATTGGAACCATGTAGATATCTCTTATGATATTGAGTAATCTATCTGTGAACGTAGGTTTTTCTCTCCAATTATTTAGGTCTTCTTTAATGCTTTTGAATAGACTTTTATTATTTTTCCATATAGATCTTGTACATGTGTGATTCATTTTTATTACTGGATATCTTATAACTCTAGCTGGTCTTGTGGATGATATGATTTTTAAAACTACACATTCTGATTCATGCTAGTGTGTTGAAATACAGTTGATATTTTATGTTGCTTTTTCAGCCAGCCACCTTACTAAAAAAGTCTCTAATTTCTGACTTGCCTGGGATTCTTTTGGGTTTTGTCTATAAAGTCATGCCATCTGTGAACAGTGACATTTTTTCTTCATGGCTTTATGAATGTAGTTACCAAGCTGTAGATCACTTTCAGGGCCCAGCAACGCTGCCAGTTTTCAATTTATTCTACTTCCTCTGCTTGTTGTACTGTAATGGACTCATGATGTTGAACTTTGTCAGCAGAGGGTGCTGGAGGGACCTTGCTCCCAATTCTGGTGTTGCTTTGCTCCTATAGTGCAGTCCCCCAGTAACGCCGTGGAGAGCAGGAAGTCACCTTGCAGTCTTGGCCTGGGCCACCCAGGGGACTTCACCACCACCAGTACTACTTGTGCACCCTTGTAAAAAATCAGTTTGCTGTATTTGCACAAGTCCGTTCCTGTACTTTTTATTCTGTTCTGTTGATTTGTGTGTCTGTCTCTTCTTCAGTATCACATACTTTCTTGACTGCTATAGCATTATAGTAAGTCTTAAATCAGGTAGTGTGACTTCCCCCAATTCTGTTCTTTATCGGAATCATTTTGGTGATTATAGTTCTCTTGCCTTTCCATATAAATATTAGAACCAGCCTATTTATGTATCTATAAAAAATTCTAGAGGAAAAGCTAGGCAATATCATCCAGGACATAGGCATGGGCAAGGACTTCATGACTAAAACACCAAAAGCAATGGCAACAAAAGCCAACATTGACAAGTGGGATCTAATTAAACTCCAGAGCTTCTGTACAGCAAAAGAAACTATCATTAGAGTGAACTTGCAACCAACAGAATGGGAAAAAATGTTTTCAATCTACCCATCAGACAAAGGGCTAATATCCGGAATCTATGGAGAACTTAAACAAATTTACAAGAAAAAAACAACCCCATCAAAAAGTGGGCAAAGGATATGAACAGACACTTTTCAAAAGAAGACATTTATGCAGCCAACAAACATGAAAAAATGCTCATCATCACTGGTCATTAGAGAAATGAAAATCAAAACCACATTGAGATACCACCTCACGCCAGTTAGAATGGCGATCATTAAAAAATCTGGAGACAACAGATGCTGGAGAGGATGTGGAGAAATAGGAAGGCTTTTACACTGTTGGTGGGAGTAGAAATTAGTTTGACAATTGTAGAAGATAGTGTGGCGATTCCTCAAGGATCTAGAAATAGAAATTCCATTTGACTCAGCAATCCTATTTCTGGGTATATACCCAAAGGACTATAAATCATTCTATTATAAAGACACATGCACACGTATGTTCATTGTGGCACTGTTTACAATAGCAAAGACGTGGTCAACCGAAATGCCCATCAATGATAGACTGGATTAAGAAAATGTGGTACATATACACCATGGGATACTAAGCAGCCATAAAAAATGATGAGTTCGTGTCGATTGCACGGACATGGATGAAACTAGAAACTATCATTCTCAGCAAACTGACGCAAGAACAGAAAACCAAACACTGCATGTTCTCACTCATAAGTGGGTATTGAACAATGAGAACACACGGACATAGGGAGGGGAACATCACACACTGGGGCCTGGGCGGTGGGGGGCTGGGGGAGAAATAGCAGGGGGTGGGGGGATTGGGGAGGGATAGCATTAGGAAAAATACCTCATGGAGATGACGGGACGATGAATGCAGCAGACGGCTACCATGGCACGTGTATACCTATGAAACAAACCTGCACGATCTGCACATGTACCCCAGAACTTTAATGAATAAATTAAAAGAAAAAGAAAGTCTACTGGGATTTGTGATTGGGGTTACAGTAAATCTATAGATAATTTAGAGAGAATTGGTTGTCATTTCTGTGTTGAAGATGTCATTCCATTTACATGACATGTCTCTCCATTTATTTAGGTTGTCTTTAAGTTCTTTCTTCGGCATTTTGTAGTTCTCAGTATAGAGATCCTGTATGTTTTATTTGATTTATACCTAGTATTTAATTGTTTTTGTACCTATTGTAAATCATTAAAAAAAATTTCAGTTCAAATTGCTAGCATATTGAAATTCAGTTGGTCTTGTGTGATCTTGTATCCTGTGACCCTGCTAAACTCATTTTTTTAGTCTAGGAGTTTTCTTTGGTGATTTGTTGTTGTTGTTGTTGTTGTTCAATTCTATGAAATTTTGATGTAGACAAAGATGTGTATGAATAGAGACAGTCTGACCTCTTCCTTGTGAGTCTGGATGCCTCCTAATTCCTTTTCTCGCCTTGTTGTGCTGACTCTGAGTTCACTTCTGGTACGATATTGAATAGGAGTGGAGAGGGTGGACACCTTTGCCTTGTTCCCTGCATTCGTTCTTTCAACATTACGCACAATGTCAGCTGCAGGGTTTTTGTGTAGATGCTCCTTATCAAGTTGAGGAAGTTCCCCTCTATTCCTCTTTCTCTGAGACTTTTATTACGAATTTACATTGAATTTTGTCAGATGTTTATTGAGTCCTACCTTGAGGTTAGGCCAGGTGATACTGCAGGAAAAGCAGGAAATACACCACAGTTTGGTGATGCTTTGAATTCTGGTCTTCTCAAGTCTGCATGTCACTGTTTTTATGTAAGAGCCCTCAAATAGCAAGTCCATGTATATTATCAGTTTAACAGCAGGATTTTTGTGGGAGAAACAGGATAAACTGAATGAAAGAGAACCTTCTTTTTTTTTTTTTTTTTTTTTTTTTTGAGACGGAGTTTCGCTCTTGTTACCCAGGCTGGAGTGCAATGGCGCGATCTCGGCTCACCGCAACCTCCGCCTCCTGGGTTCAGGCAATTCTCCTGCCTCAGCCTCCTGAGTAGCTGGGATTACAGGCGCGCGCCACCATGCCAAGCTAATTTTTTGTATTTTTAGTAGAGACGGGGTTTCACCATGTTGACCAGGATGGTCTCGATCTCTTAACCTTGTGATCCACCCGCCTCGGCCTCTCAAAGTGCTGGGATTACAGGCTTGAGCCACCGCGCCCGGCCAAGAGAACCTTCTTTTAGCATACAAATTTTGATACTCAACTATGTGGTTGCTAAAAGTAATTTGTTCTTTTAGTACTAAGTAATATTCTATTGTGTAAATATGGTACAGTTTGTTTATCCATTCATGTGTTGATAGACTTTTGTGTTATTTCTAGTTATAGACTCATAAGTAAAACTACTGTGGCAAGGGCTGCCATTCTGGAGGCAGTGTGATAGCATGTGTAATTGCAGTATTGGTAGACGCTGCCAAATTGTTTTCTTAAAAGACTACCAGTTAAGACTTTTAGTAAGCGTGTGTAAGAGTGTCTATTTCCCCACATCCTTATCAACAGCAGATATTTTCAGTGCTTTATTTTTTTCCAATCTGATAAAAAAATTATAGGTCATTATTTTCATTTATCTTTCCTTGATTACTTGTGAAGTTCAACTTTTTCCTTCTCTTGGACACTTCCCTCTGTGAATTGCCTTTATGCAGTTTTAAAGTGAATTTTTTTTTCTTACCGATCTCTGTAAGAACTTCACTTTTTTGAGTATGAATGTTTTGTTTGTAATACACATCACAAGTGTTTTCTCTAGTTTGGTTGGCTGGCTGGTGGTGCCATTAGCTGAAATAGGGACTAGAGGAAGAGCAACAGTGCAGGAGACTTTTAGTTTCAGATATGCTGAGATATCCAGGTAGATACAACTTAGCAAAAATTTGGTAGAGAGGTGATATTGATAGGGCATTGATTGGTGGGCTGTAGTCATTCTCTTCATTCCTTGGATGATACTAATCCATCATCAAAAACTACATGCTTAAATCAGATTTACAGTGCGTTTTAGAGTTTAGCTGTTTTTATCAAGGGAAATAGGTACATGCTGTAGGTTTCTTCCTGAATATCTGTCATCTTTTCTTCTATTAAGCAACAATAATTACTGCCTGAAAGCTTTGCACTGTTCACATTGTCAGGAAACTGACACTCATGGGCACATTGTCAGAGTCGTTCTCTGGAAACATTTGTATTGGCTGTAAGGTCCATCTCTTCTCCTTACATCTTGATCTCCCTACCTTGATTTTCATCTTACATAAAAATTTTTAAAAGGATTGTAAGAGTACAAATAAATTAAAAGAATTGCCAGTAGTTATTTCTAGTGCCAGGCATATGGCTTTGCATATAGGGGGGATGCTGAGTAGATGTCATCATGATACAAAGAATCAAATGGCAGATGTCTCCAAAAATGGAGTCAGAGGGTTTTGAGAATTTACTTTACAATTTATCCTGATGAAAAGAAATGACAAATCTCTTTCTCATTTCTTCTTGTCATTATTGTTGATATTGTAGCTTGCAAACCATACTGGGTACATCAAAGTTGACTGGCAACGAGTGGAGAAGGACATGAAGAAAGCCAAAGAGCAGCTGAAGATCCGTAAAAGCAATCAGATACCTACTGAGGTCAGGAGCAAAGCTGAGGAGGTGAGACTTGCATTATTCATGTGTAGTGTGTGACAGCACAGACAATTGTCTTAACCCTATTGCGTAGATAGCTCAATGATGGACAGGGCTTAAATATTACAAAGAACTTAGAGTAATGTGACAAAGCTAACTTGGAATATCATAACTTCATAGCATTTTTAAAAGCTGGATAATTAAAAGTGTTTGGTGACCTTTGTCAGTTGAGAGTACCGAGTGATACAGATTATCCCTTTAACATGTTCGTCTAGGAATGTGGGGCAGCATAGTGGATGGGAAGGATATATGGCCAGTATGATCATTTTGAGTCACATTTTGTCCCTGTATACACGTATCTCTGAAATATTCATACTCTGCTTGTGTTACATATAATTAGTAGAAATGTGCAGCCCAGGGGTTGGTGAACTTTTTCTGTAAAGGGCCAGGTAAATATTTTTAGTTTTGTGGGCCATATTGTCTCTGTCACAAGTATTCAGCTCCACTGTATATCATGAAAATAGCCATAGACGGTATGTGAATAAGTGGATGTGGCTGTTACAGTAAAACTTTTTTTTTTTTTTTTTTTTTTTTTTTTGAGACGGAGTCTCGGTCTTGTTACCCAGGCTGGAGTGCAATGGTGCGATCTCGGCTCACCGCAACCTCCGCCTCCTGGGTTCAGGCAATTCTCCTGCCTCAGCCTCCTGAGTAGCTGGGATTACAGGCACAAGCCACCATGCCCAGCTAATGTTTTGTATTTTTAGTGGAGACGGGGTTTCACCGTGTTGACCAGGACGGTCTCGATCTCTTGACCTCGTGATCCACCTGCCTCGGCCTCTCAAAGTGCTGGGATTACAGGCTTGAGCCACCGCGCCTGGCTTACAGTAAAACTTTATTTAAAAACAGGTTTGCTGGGTGCGGTGGCTCATGCCTGTAATCCCAGCACTTTGGGAGGCCGAGGCAGGTGGATCACGAGGTCAAGAGATCGAGACCGTCCTGATCAACACGGTGAAACCCCGTCTCTACTAAAAAAAGAAAAAATTAGCTGGGCATGGTGGTGCATGCCTGGAATCCCAGCTACTCAGGAGGCCTAGGCAGGAGAATTGCTTGAACCCAGGAGGCGGAGGTTGCGGTGAGCCGAGATCACGCCATTGCACTCCAGCCTGGGTAACAAGAGTGAGACTCCGTCTCAAAAAAAAAATTAAAAACAAAACAAAACAAAACAAAAAAACCGGTTCAGACTGCATTTGGCCCATGGGCTGTAGTTTGCTAATCCCTAATCTTGTTTATTACAGCCAGGTTAGATTATAACCTGGCACTGGAGGGACAGGAGAAGTTCTTCCTTTTTAAAAGGATATTTTTGCTGCTTCTTTATTACCTTTAGAAATATGTCAGATATCCCAAAGAAATAAGTACAGTGAACTGGGGAGAAATAAACAAGAATTGGGGTGTCAAGAAGATAGCTCTAGCCTCACAGGGAAAACAGACAGATTGAGTACAGGGGAGGAGAAATACCCTGTATGCACCTCCGGCTTCTCATGTTGTAAGGTGGCTCTTCATGCGGGTGATCGGCAAGTGGCTGGTCAAAGCTCGTGCCTTTACCCAGAGTGGGAAGGTGGCAAAGGTGGTTATCTACAGGAACCCAGAGCCCAGATGGTTCTTCTTACGTTTCTTCCTTCTGTCTCTCCTCAATCTCACAGTTATGAAAGTTATACTTTTTTATTTCATGAAAGTTTTATTTTTCAAATGTTTAAAGACACAATACGTGGCTGGGCACAGTGACTCACCACAGTGAGTGAGAATTTTTGTTTTTTAAGAGAGGGTTTAACTGTCAGTGAGGCTGGAGTACAGTGGCACAGTCATGGCTCACTGTAGCCTCAACCAAGCGATCCTTCCACCTCCGCCTTCTGAGTAGCTGGGTATACAGGTGTGCACCAGCATACCTGGTGAAGTTTTAAATTTTTTGTAGAGACAAGGAGACCCTGTTGTTGTCCTGGCTGGTCTCAAACTTCTGGGCTCAAGCAGTATTCCCACTTTGGCCTCCCAAAGTGCTGGGATTACAGATGTGAGCCACAGTGCCTTGCCGAAAACTTTTAAAACAATACTGGAAGTGTACATAATAACAAGTATAAAGTTAATATTTGATTAGAACCAACTATTGACTTGCAGTGGGAGTTTGTTATAAATTAACCAAATGATTTGGAATTGAGTTCATTTCACAAATATGTGTGTTCCTGTTCCTGGCCTGGCACTGTCACAGACCCTGGGGTTGTAGTAGCTGGTTTTCCTATTCATAGAACCCGTGGTCTGATTTGAGAAACAGGATGAAGATTTAGTTCACTATTTCACAACAAGATGACTTCAGTAGGATGGTGGAATTGACAGCCAAACTGGCAAGTTGAAGAAATAGTAGGAAGTAAGAAAGTAAAAATAATAAATGAAAACAATTATTTCAGGAAGTTGTATGATTTTTTTCTTTTTCTTTTTCTTTTCTTTCTTTTTTTTTTTTTTTTTTTTTTTAGACAGAGTCTCGCTCTATCGTCAGTCTGGAGTGCAGTAGCACGATCTCGGCTCACTGCAACTTCCGTTTTCTGGTTTCAAGCAATTCTCCTGCCTCAGCCTCCTGAGTAGCTGGGATTACAGGCACGCACCACCACGCCCAGCTAATTTTTTGTATTTTTATTAGAGACGGGGTTTCACCATGTTGACCAGGATGGTCTCGATCTCTTGACCTCGTGATCCACCCACCTCGGCCTCCCAAAGTGCTGGGATTACTGGAGTGAGCCAGCTGGCCCGGCCTGATTTTTTTTTCTTTACCCCATTGGCAAATGGCAAAAGTGCTTCATTTAGGGAAATGTTGAGGTCCAGAAGAGTTGAGGGAGGAATGGAAATGGGGCAGGAAGACATAGGCATAGTCAGAGTAAGGGCTTACTGGAGAGTTACGAGACGGTTGCCTAGGAGGATGTTTGGGGAATGTCTGGGTGTGAGTGGCTTAGGTGGTTTGCAGTTGAAGTCACTATACTTGAGTTCAATAAATGATCAGGCCAGGATGTTGGATGTCTTGTTCATATGAACACTTTCTAAGGTGGTGATTATACTTAGGAGAAAGAGGTCTGAGCCACTTACCAAAGTTCTGTCTGAAATTGGAAGGTGGGAGTGGTCAGGAGATTGGTAGAGCACAGACGGAGGAGACATAAAGAGTGTCTAAATGTATGCGGTGAGCCTCAGATGACTGGGAGCTTTTCCAGGAGGGTAGAAAGGAGGTGGGAAGCTTTGGGGACTTAAGGAAATAAGAACCTCACCTATTAATCATCTTAGATGTGATGAAGTGTGAATATGAGAATTCATAGCATCTACCTGGGAGCAGGTTTCAGAAGGGAATGCATGGATGGAGAGATTTAGGGAGGAGACTTCAGAGAATGAGAAACCACTATTGCAGGGTAGATGCCAAAGAGGATGGAAGGAGCGACATTGGAAACAGTGATAATTGCCTCTGTAACCAGTTTATTTAGTGCGGCTTCACTCTTATCCCATAACTGTCCCCATGAACTCCTTTTTTGTCCTTGATTCAAAGAGCCATTCTTTCTACCTCCTGATGTGCATCCTCCTTCCTATCAGGCTCCCTGTAGCAGCCAGTGGTCATTTTCATATGTAAGTAAATTTAATGGCTTCCATTGTCCTTTGGGTAAAGTACAAACTACATAACAGATGAGGAGACTGACATTGTTAAGACTGGCATAGGTGTAATAGAGATGATTCTAAATATTATTGACATCCTTAGCAAAACAACCCATTGTACTATCTTCTGTTTCAGGTGGTGTCATTTGTGAAGAAGAATGTTCTGGTGACTGGGGGATTTTTCGGAGGCTTTCTGCTTGGCATGGCATCCTAAGGAAGATGACCTCATTTTCATTGTTCCTGGTTTTTTCTAGCCAGCAGCCTCTACACTCCATCATAGGACATCAAGTCCCTCCTCTTCTCCCGTGCCTTCCTCCCTGCCATGGCAAATCCGGGTGGCTTCTATAAGCATCTGTTGGTGCAAGTTACTGTGGCACCATGAGCTTGATGGTGGCAGAAGAGACAGTAGTCCTTAGCTCTCCTCCCAGTACACCCCCTACTTGGTCAGTCTATAGGTCAGCAAGAAGATTCCTTTACCCCCATGCAAGACACTTAAACCAGAACACATTGCAAGCTGGCTCACCGTGGAAGATGACTGGATCCTGAAAGGTTGTCTCAAACTGTTGATTTGGAAAAGAAATAAGCACATAGATAACCTTGTTGTGTGCTGCATGGAAAGGAACTGAATACATTTGCCTTTAAGCATGAAAGATTTTGGTATCTTGGTGTCTACTTTCTTTTTTAGTTGGTTTTATGTTACAGAAAGAGCTATTTAAATGTGTTATAATTATGCAACAAATTGGCAGCATAAGTACTATAATTGAAAAATCTGATATTGTCCAGGAATGTTTACCACTGTACAGGATAATGTATCTCATGGCTGTTTCCAAAGGGTTTATTTATTGTAAAACAAGTGATTTAGGTGGGAAAGAGAAGAAAATCTTGGATTTTTATTTCGTAGAAAAGATGTTAAGCTTTGAAATGTGAATGAAATATTCTTATCAAAACATTAGCACATTTTGCTGTATTGGCATGTTACCATGTCTGCAGTCCCAACTAGAATATCAATCAGCTTTTAGAGGCAAGACTTCTGTCTTCACCAATTATACTCACAGGGCCTAGCACTTAATAGGTGCTGAGTATTTGTTGAAAATATGAATAATGACTTTATAGAAAGAAAACTCACTATTAAAGGTTAGTTTTACTCAGAATTAATTAATCTTGGAGATGATCTCTTGTGAAATATGAGTGTGTTTCTAAGGCCATACATTGAAAATGTTTGCATTTTAACCTATCTTGAGAATGATGTATTGAATTTGAAAATCGAAACTACCAATGGATGTGTAGAATGTTACAGAAATCACCTATTTGTGTTTTTCTCCTTACATTTGCGGAAACATAAGCCATTTGGCTTGCAATATGTATGAATCATCTCAAAACCATAATGATATGAGTCTCTTTGCATATTTTTCTAAAAGAACTTTATTTTTACTTTTTATTATGGATGCTTTCAAGCATATATAAAAGTAGAGAATGTAGTACAATAATCCCCCACGTATCTACCACTCACCTACAACAATCATCAAATTATAGCTATGCTGGTTTTTACCAATTATTGTGAAACAAATACCAAAATGTGATTTTACCATATTTCAGTATGTATCTGTAAAAGGTAAGAATTATTTCTAAAAATCATAAATATAGTACATCATCATATCAAACATTAACAGTAATTACATAATATCCAATATCTTATCAGTATTCAAAATTTCCTTGTCTCAAGTGTTTTACATTTAGTTTCTTTGAATCAAAATTCATGCAAGGTTCCCATTATATGTGCATGATTAGGATAAGTCTCTTAACCTTATAGATCATCCTCTAATTTTTTTTGCCATCTATCTATCTATCTATCTATCTATCTATCTATCTATCTATCTATCTATCTATCTGTCTGTCTGTGTATCATCTATCTTGATATAGATATATGTAATGAAACTGAGTCATCTGTTTTCTGGTTTCCCAAATTCTGCTTCTGACATTTGGGAATCTCTGAGTTATGCCATATATGGTGATCATGGCTGCAGCCACTTTACCTGTGTGACTTACCCACAGCAATGGGATGGTAACAGCAAAAGCTAACCAAAGTGCTCTGTGCCCCTTTGGGTTGCATGTGGCTCTAGGGGAGGCTCCTTCCTGCCTCTCCAGCTCCCGGGGGCTCCAGCATCCCTGGGCTTACGGCCCTATCACTGCAGCCTCCGCCTCCATTAACAGGTTTTTGGGTTATAACATGAACATATATATATTTTGGGGGTACCATAGTTCAATCCACTTCAATCGTATCCAGTTCTCTCCAGTGGGGTAGGGGTTGTCTTTTGGTGTATCTCTTTTTCCTGGTGATTATTGGTGAGGACAGTAAAAATTAGCAGGTGGTTCTAAACTACGTTGAGTTTCAGGTGGTGAGTTGGAGTTAAGGTTTACCCCAAAAGAACAGCTGCCATTCCTCCATGCAAAACCGTGATGATTCCAGGACCTGGCAACTCCACCTTTCAATGCACTATTTTCATTTGACTGGAGAGGCCTGCTTAGCTAGGCACATATTTTCTCCAGTAGCAAAGTTCAATAACGTTCTGAACTTCCTATTCAGTGGTGGTGGGGTGGAAGTTTTTCCTTGGGAAGAGCGTTGTCACTGTGTATGGTGCAAAGAAACTTGACTTGGAATGTGTTCGGGGTTTCGTCGCCCCTGGTGGCGGCAACGTGGTAACACTGCGCTCAAGGCTTCCAAGTTGTCAACCAATAGGATGCCATCTACCTAGCGAAAGTCCCCCTTCCGGTACCCTGCAGCATGGTGGACAGCGTCCCTGCTCAGCGACCCCTTCTGTCCCCTTCCTGGCTACTATGGGTCCGCCCTGCATCCTCACCACTTTGACCCACCCTTTTGGCCCAGCGTTTTCTCCCGCAATGGGACCTGGTGGGATGGGGACTTACAGCATGCTACAGGAGAGGTAGAACGTTTGAGTCTCTTCCCAAAGTTCTCCCCAGAGTCAGACAGCAGAGACTGATCCAGGGGCACATTGTGGTGGCTGCCTGCTGGGGCTCAGCAGATGGAGTCCAATGTTTCAGTCTCCCTCAAGGATGTGTATCCTCATTGCTGACACGGGAGCTGGGTCGGGGGAGGGATGTGGTGTTTGGGACCTTTGCCTGAGCAGCCCATTGTCATGAGTGTTATTGTCATGATAATATTTTAACATGATTCTCCTCCCAAATGGCTGCTTGTTTGCTGTAGTCTCCTGCCACTCAGCCTCCAGACATTCATTAACAGGACAGTGGAGGTCTCGACTCCCGCACCACTGGGGTGACAGTCCTTGCTAGTGGATCTGGGCAGTTACTGTCTCATGGATGCTGGCAGAAGATGATTCAAGTTGGAGGACCAGATTCTACAAGGAATGAACTCTTAGATAATTCTAGCCAACATGCTCTTGGGGTGGGTGCTTCTGGTTTTGGAAAGCAGTTACTGTGTAGTTAACTATTGTAAGAATAGTCTCTCCGTCATCCTTTTGTTTGATGTTTGCCAGAAACATGGGCATAACTAATGGCTGGGCTCTTATGTGGAAACTCTACTTTTGTACAGTTTGGGAAAATGCAAAATAAATCTCTGCGTTAAAAAATAGTATACGAATGGATTTGAAGTTTCTGAGCATCATCAATGTTTAATGATGATCTCAATTTCTTCTCAGAGGGAAGCTCACAGCCAGTTTTGGAACCTGTAGGAAAATTTGAGTGCTGCCCTGTGGTCCCTCCACCAAATTATCAGCTTCATTTCTGTCATGAAATCCAGTATGATTTCTGGGAAATCAGGCCCAGAACTAAAATACACTTTCTGCCCAACTCTCTAAGACATCACACTAACATTTAAGTACTTGGACAGAAAACCTATTTTAGTTCTGAGCCTGATTTTTCCAGAAGTCATACGGTGTGGCTTATATTTCTGATGTTTGCCTTCTTTTTAAGGGATCATTAATCTTAATACATTTTTTAAAGAAAACAGTGTTTCACTTTTTCAAATTTTTATAAAGCTTTAAAGTCAGCTTATTGAGACGGAGTTTTGTTCTTGTTACCCAGGCTGGAGTGCAGTGGCACGGTCTTGGCTCACCACAACCTCCGCCTCCTGGGTTCAGGCAAGTCTCCTGCCTCAGCCTCCTGAGTAGCTGGGATTACAGGCATGCACCACCATGCCCAGCTAATTTTTTGTATTTTTAGTAGAGACGGGGTTTCACCATGTTGACCAGGATGGTCTCGATCTCTTGACCTTGTGATCCACCTGCCTTGGCCTCCCAAAGTGCTGGGATTACAGGCGTGAGCCACCGTGCCCGGCCTTGTCAAAACTTTTAAATTTTTAAATGGTAAGAAATGACAGGATTATGGAGAGCAGTGGTTTTCATCCTTGCTTGCACTTAGTGATCACCTGTGAAATTTTAAAAACTACGAATGCCTGACTCTTATCCTACAGATTCTGATTTCACTGGTCTGGCGTGTTGTTAAGGCATCCTGAGGTTTTAAAGTGTTTTAAGACTTTTCTAATGAGCAGCTGATTCTGAGAACCACTGAAGTACAGAGTTGGAAGCTGGTGTTGAAAAAATTAAGAGTTCTGCTGTTAAACAACTCCTTAACAGGGCTTTAAAGCCTTTTAAATTAAGTGCCATACAACTTCAGATGCCTTCTGAATACTGAACACAAGTGTGATATTGTTCATTAAATGTTTTAGGAATCGTGTGGAGTGAATGCAAGGAAAGTAGTTTCTCTTGGCATTTGAAAACTTGAAAATATATCCTAGAAATATTGTTTCTCAGACTTGCATAAAAAGGATTATTATGTTTTAATATAAGTAATTTTCAGAAAAACGAATCCACGTTTTACAGGAAAACTATGGATTCTATTTTAACTTTTTTTTGGCTTTTAATGGGCATTATGGGAAACTCAGCATGAACCTTCTTTCATCCTTTTGTTGCCATTAAATTGCAGTAAGTTTATTTAAACTTCAGGGTGCTTTCTGAGCCCTTATTAGCATGAGAAATTTTGTTCCCACATTTTGAAAGTACCTTGACAGACACACAGGTTGGCTGAACTGACAGGTCGCCCCATGAGAGTTGTGGGCTGGTATCATTCCCATCCTCATATAACTGTTTGGCCTTCACATGTTGGTAAGTATTATGGGGTTGCAATGTTTATTGTTCTCAGAAATTAATATCATGTTTCCTTCTTTATTATTTGCATTGTGGCAAAGTGGAAGAGCAAGGGCTTTTGTTGTCCGTGGATGCTAAAACACTGGGTGAAAAGTTGTGGGGTAATGTGATATTCATATGGTGACAAGATACTACCCCGCAAATAACCATTACAAAGGGAAAACCACTTTTCTAGCTAAAAGGTCAGTCACTAACCAAGTGACTAAACTTAGCATCACTAATAGCCAGATTAAAGTGTTTTTTTTTTTTTTTCCCCAAAATGGGAGATCATAGCTCTCACCTTCTTAGAGTTCTTTCCTTAAGACTGAGATTCAGTGTTAATCTCAGTCCCTAACAAATAAGAAGCACTCTGTAAATGTTAAGCCTTCTATGATGGCTATTTTTATATATGTCATAATAATAGCTAAGAAGACTAAGCGTTAAATCAATGTTTAATAGATTTGGAATAGATTTGTTGACTTAAAAAACTGAGACAGAATCGTTTAAAGGAAGGAACTGATATGAACCTTTCAAAACTGAAAGTACTATACTGATACAGTTTGGACTATGTCCCCACCAAATCTCATGGTGAACTGTATTCTCTAATGGAGGTGGAGCCTGGTGGGAGGTGATTGGATCACTGGGCTGGGTTTCTCATGAATGGTGTAGCACCATCCCCTCTTGGTACTTTACTCATGATACAGAGTTCTCATGAGATCTGGTCATTTAAAAGTATGTGGCACTTCACCCACCACTCTTTCTTGCTTTGGCCATGTGGAGTGCTCACTCCCCTTGTGCCTTCTGCCATAACTGAGTTTGTTGAGGCCTCCCTAGAAGCCCATCAGATGCAGTGCCATGCCTCCTGTACAGCCCGTGGAACTGTGAGCCAACTAAACCTCTTTTCTTTATAAATTACCCGGTCTCAGGTATTTCTTTATAGCAATGCAACAATGGACTAATAAATATGCTTTAGCAAAAAAAAATTTTAAGAGTCTGAAATTGGAGTAGCTAACTCAGTAAACATAACTTAGCAATAAAACACAGAAAACAATCTATTTGATCATGTAATGATTCCTAATGTAAATCCCAGTAGGACTGTCAACTGATAATTTTAAATGTAATTTAGGTTTGTAGATGATGTAACATTAAAAATGTAAAATGTTTTATTATTTTATCATTAACACAAGACTCCATTTAAATGATTTCATGGGGATTTAGCACTGTTACTCTGGTTTGTTGACCAAATGTCTCTAAGGCAGCATTTCTCTAAGTGTCTCTGGAGAGCATTCACAGACAGATGCTGTCTGCAAAACAGGTTTTCTTAGGCTCTTTGAAAGCTCTAAACTCTAGCAGGAAATTAACTGTTTACTTGTACGCAACCTAGCATTCCCCAGTCTTACCTGAGCACAGAAGCCCTTTTTTTTCCTTCCTGTTATAGCAATTCCTAGAAACACTCCGGGGAATACTGCTTTAAGGAAAACAGTTGGTCTCAAATAATCGTGGTATTTCAATATCAGGGACCTAGCAGAAACTGTTCCTGCTTTTAGTCATCATTTTTTTAGAGGGGCTCTGGTGGTTCAAGCATCCATTTGAGGAAAGCAAATGGCCTGTTGCATTCTGCCTCCTCCTACTACATAAAGTGACTGACAACTGTCAACAGGCTTCATTCAGCAGCTTTGTATTAATGTTGTCTGGATCCTCTGTAACCGGTTTTTTTATTATCAGGATATAAAGAATAGATAAACCAACTAAGAGTTTGAACTATCTTGTTGCCTACCTGACTTCCGATGAAAATTTTTTCTTCAGTTCCTTGATGATATATTAAGAATCATTTCTATGCCTTTCCTACCATTAAGTGAATGAATATTAAGCACTTCTGGTTAGTCACTCCAGTGGGGATGCAAAAACAGAAAAAAATGCTCTTACTGGCATCTGGAAAGACACTTTTTGCTCTGCATTATTGGAAGCACAAAAGGTACTGAGTTCGTTTAAAGGAAACTTTGCATTCATTTAACACGTTATCCATAAAAGGTGTCAAAACTGTGATGCTGGAAGAGAGTCCTTTCACCTAACATACCTCGTATGACTTAAGTTTGATGAATGGCACTAGTGATCTGAACTCAAAGAGAATTCATTAATACCCTATATCTCATAGTCTTAAAATACATTTAGTTCAAAACCAAAGTTTTTCTCTTAAACAGGTTTATTTTAGCAGCTTGGTTTATTACATTGTACATATTTGTCTTTGAATGTGTTGTTTAAATTTCTGTCTGTTCTGCATAGATGGCATATTCATTAACTTTTATAGCTGACTTTTTCATTTGCTATTTGCTGCTACCTGGCCTGAAGAAAGACAGGAAGATTAAAAAATTCATTCAGTAGAAACATGGAACAGCACTTCAGCAGAACTTTACTTCAATGCAGACTTCAGTGTTAGGTTTTCTTCCTCTTCTTTTTCAAATCCTGAACAGACGACAGATCTTCCCTTGGGATACTGAGCACAACACTTACGCAGTTCTTGGATGACAGCCTGACATTTTGATTCCATGTAGTTGTTGGCTGAAAAACATACAGGCAGACTCTAGTCATGATTTCATAGGACTAAGGTAAAGGGAAGTTTAGATCAGTGCTTCCCACTCCTTTTCACTTTCAGTACCTATGGAACTGGAAGAAGGAATATACACCAAAGTCGACTAAATTCTTTCTAATTTGGAGAGCTGTCAACAGGTTCATTGGGAAGAAAAGTATGATTTCAAAGTGGTTGAAAGCTATTTTAATTTCCTTTACGGTTAACAGCATACATGCACCTTTTTCTAGGGTATTGGTTCTTAACATCATTATTATTACTGGTCACTAATTTGATGAATTAGGAAAATGCACATATACCACCTATTACTTTGCATACAGTTTAAGCTGATTGTTGGACCTCCTCTTTACCAAGGCTGTGCATCAGGAATTGGGAAACTGCCGCCCGTGAGGGTCAAATTCAGCCCGTTTTTACAGCTGGGAGCTAAGAATGGATTTTAGATTTTTAAAGGGTTGTAAACACACAACACATATACAATATATACAACAAAGACCTTTAGCCTCCAAAGCCTAAAATACTACTTAGTTTGGCCTTTTTCATAAAACGTTTGTAGACCCCTACTATACATAAACACTTAAGTTAAGGAGGACCTGACCTAAAGGCTCTAAGTCAGCTGATAATCTAATGAGCCTCCCAGTACTAAAATGGGATACATGGTAGTTAGCTTAGGATAGGAAGGACAATTCTGATTAGCAAGGTGGCTAACAGTCCAGATTTGGAGCTAGACCAAGGGTGGGTTTGGAGGGAATTCCCACCGTATTTACCAGCTATGTGACCCTAGTCAAATTACATAACTTATGTGTTTGTTTTCCCATCTATGAAATGGGGGTCATAGTAGCATCTACCTCATGGATGAAAGGCTTAATACATGTAAAGTCCTTAACATGGTGTTTGTCATTTAGTGAGTGCTTAACGCTAACTCTTTTAGTCTTTCCAGCTCTCAATCCTCCCACAGTGTGCCAAGGGGATGTCACCAGCTCTTTTTAATGTGATTATTTTTTCCCTTAGCCATGGGTTACTTCAAACAAGGTAAGGATTTATTTGGGAGAATGAATTAAATGCAAAAAAAAAAAAAAAAAAACCATTTCCCTTTCCTTAAAGTCGGAGGGAGGGAAGAAAAGTATGACTAAAATGGCATTATTATACATCAACATTTGAATTTAAAAGATTTTATAAAATATTGCTTACATCAAAAAATGAAAAGTCCAAGAATGAAAGCTAAAAATCCAAGAAAATACACGAAGTAGTTCTTTGATGGTGAATCTTTGGGGGAACTTTGAACAGGACCATCCATCTCTATCTATTACTTTACTAATGAAGAAAACTTATTTTAAAAGTTTTCAAATTCAGATAGCCTTATTGCTTTTTCTATTTGCTCTGCTGGCAATAATCATTCACTGATTAGAAAACTGAAATCCTCCAACATTTGGTGAAACTTAGCAGCTGGACAAATGCACAAATCACCTCAAATATGCTTTAGTTGAGATTCACTTCTGCCTTTAAGAGTTAGTTGCTGACTTTGGCAGCCTGAATTACAATTGTTATTTCAACCCCACCTCTTCCAGATTGCCTTTAAAAAGTGAATTGTCAGCTGCAGTGAAGTATAACCAACCAATTTTAAACTAGCCTTTTAGTAAAAAAACAAAAAAGCAAAAAACAAAACCCTTTTGCTTAGCTTAGTAATTCTCAACTCTGGCTGTCCATTAAAATCATTTGGTTAGCTTTCTAGACTGACTCCCAGCCAGACCGTAGCCCCAGGAAATGTGAATTGTTCTAGGTAAGTTTTTTTTTTTTTGAGACGGAATTTCGCTCGCTACCCGGGCTGGAGTGCAATGGCGCAATCTTGGCTCACCGCAACCTCCGTCTCCTGGGTTCAGGCAATTCTCCTGCCTCAGCCTCCTGAGTAGCTGGGATTACAGGCATGCGCCACCATGCCCAGCTAATTGTTTGTATTTTTAGTAGAGACGGGGTTTCACCATGTTGACCAGGATGGTCTCAATCTCTCGACCTCGTGATCCACCCACCTTGGCCTCCCAAAGTGCTGGGATTACAGGCTTGAGCCACCGCGCCCGGCCAACTGTAACATTCTTAATAAAGAGTTAAGGGCTGGTCGCGGTGGCTCACGCCTGTAATCCCAGCCCTTCGGGAGGCCGAGGTGGGTGGATCACCTGAGGTCCGGAGTTCAAGACCAGCCTGGCCATCATGGTGAAACCCTATCTTTAAAAAAAAGAGTTAATACAGATAAAAGAATAATTAATCTCTTATAGTCAGTTCACAGTGGAAAAATAGTTTTAAAGCATTTAACAGTATACTACCTTGTAAACATTTCTGAATCTCACAGGCTTGCTTCTGGCACGGGTCCTTCGGTGGCATATCCAGAAAACTAAAACAAGAAAAATGATTTTTATTTTGCTTTTTTTCCATAAAGACTTTAAAACCCCTCCACGTGGAATTTTCTTCTGAGACAAGGAGTAGGCCCTTACAATTGCTGGAAAATAATTACACTAAAAATGCTCTTCCCAAACATAGTATGAATCAACTGTATTTCTATAATATCCATTTCATTAAGTTTGGAAGATATATACATGGGGGAAAAAAACCTTGAATTCAATCAACTCTTCTTGAATATTGTAAACCAACATTAGGCTAAAGGAGCCGACGGCACAGCCTGGCTCTATCACTCGCAGAAGAAACCCTTGATAAATGATTAAACTCTTTGAGCTTTTTTTATTACTCATATATAAAATGGGAACCATACCTACCTCAAAGCATTGACAGGACGATTAAGTGTGATAAAGTATATAAAGTGCATACAATAGTGCCTGGAAGGCAGAAAGGACTAAATACATGGTAGCTATTATTCCCAAGACTTTTTTTTCTTTAAGTAAAACCTTACTTTTAATGTATATAAACTGTATGACTTTAACTCAGGAAATTCTTTACAAGTAGTAAATGTTTTCCTAGGAATCAGCAATATTTGGTGCTATTACTTCCTGAGAAAGGTGCCAGTTAAGCAGCTAAAATGGTTTTTCTTGAAGTTCTTATAGAAACCAGCTTTTTAAAAATATCTGTAATCAGAGAATAAATTTAAGAGCCCACAATTTTGATCAGCAACTTCCAATAATTTGAAGACACAATTTCAGATAGAAAAAAGGCCCAGATGCCTTTGTAGCTAATTTCATCAATGCATATCTCTTTTCAGTGCCCTCTAAATACTCAGTAGATCCAAATTAGGTCAGTACTGGGATGGGAAACACTGGAGCAAAACCTAGGATATTTACAGGATGGGAGAAGGAAAGGCAGGTGAATTGCTGCAGGGCAACTAAGCGACAAATAGATGTTGATGCTGCTAGGAGCTGCTCTCTTCTCTCTAAATCAGTACCAAGTCCTTGGTGATCAGGGCATCTGTTCTGTAGAAGGTGCTGACTTTTGTGGGATTCATCAGATCCCAGGTCCAGCCGTTGATGTCCATTAAGGGTTCTATGGCAATTTCCAAAGGAGTCAATTTCAAGTTACGGATCCTGACTAAGTGCTTTTGTTGACTTGCTTTTTGCCTGTGTAACCCTCTCTCTGCAGTTTCACTTGCAGTATTCTTCATGACCCTTCCTAAACTTCTGTGTTCTTGAGCAGTTTTTCAACCCACTCCCTCCCCCCAGGCCCAAGGGTGGGTGCACTGCAGTACTGGATGAAGTGATTGCCATATACTGAACAGAACAAAGGAGCATATCTTCGTAGAATCCCAGCACCTGGAAAAAAAAATCATTAAAATCACCACAACTGAATAGAGTCAAAACAAAGAGGGAGAGGATGGAGGAGAAATAGAAATACATACCAGGTTAGTCATCAGGCAAAAGCTTAAGCAACAGCTCCTGTACTCCCCTGACCTGTCAGAAAAAGAAAAGTTTATAGAGTACTCTGTTACGAGAGTCCCAAAACAATGGAAAATAATTAAGCAACATGTGTACCATTAAATGATGCTGTATCTGCCACAAGCGAGAGTTGTTATCCATGTAGCGCTCCTCCGGGTAGAGTTGCCACATGAGAGGTAGCTGGGAGGTAAGAAGGTGACTTGGCCTAGCTGCGTCACCTAAGGGAACCTGAATTTGCTGGACTCGTGCCCTTAGGAAACTCGTCTCCTAATGGAAAGGAATGACCAAAAATAAAACCAAAGACTTCAGAATATTGAGACTGGAATAGAAACCAAGTTACTTGAAAGCAAAATCAAAGAAATAAGCAAAATGTAAACAGTTACCTCTTCCACGACGGCCACCCACGTGCGCTGGTATTCGTCGCGGTAGATACCCTCTTGGTGAACCCAGAGGTGATCGGGTGGAGCCCCCACATCCTCTCCTGCCATTCTGGGCTTTGGGTTCCAATTCTAGCCCTGCTTTTCTCCACCTAAGCCTGCAGCACCCGCGCACAGGACACAGGTGTGACTTTTTGGGTTTGAATGAACTCACCAGTAAGCAAGGTGATCTGGTACTAGCAACCACCAACCAGAACCAAACCTCATATATGCCTATTTGCACAACCTACATAGAACCAAGGACATCTGAAGCTTTCTGCAAGACAACTAAAGTGACATTAGGCAGAGCCTCGGGTAGTGCTGCCGACTGCAAAGCGCTCAATAACTTGGCTAGGTGAGGAGTTCTGTGGAAATGTAGGACTAGCACTACAGGAAGCTGGGCAGTGGTCTCATACATACTGCATTCACAAGCGGTGTCTGGCAAAATAGAGTCAGCAATAGAATATGCAAAGAGCGTGCCTAAGGAGACACTTATTTTAGCAGGAAGGGAGTATAACAGACACATGCATGCCACATTCCTCAGGTAAAAGCCACTTCCAAGCAGTTTCCACTTTAAAAGGTAAGATTCTGAAGGACATATATGCATGGCTTTCAGAGTTGATATAGAGTTTGCTTTAAGGGCAAAGGATCCATTTACCAGTTTACTAAGAAAGTTTATATACAGTGATGGGCATTTCTAGAAGGGGACGTTCTTGCTACGAAAAGTAAGGTAGCTTCATGGAATTTCTGACCTGCAAGAGACTTTGGGGATCATGGTGATCTGGAGCTGAGTGAGTGCAAATGAAAGTTATCCAGCTAGGTCCTTGTTTTCTTTTAATAATTTTGCAGGATGTTACAGAAGCCCATTTTTCCATAGAGGACTCCGTTTAAATTTTGACCTCCTAAGCCAGAAGACCAGAAGCACATTTGAGAGGTGTAAAGGAAGCATATCTCCCAAAGCATGAGTGGTAGGACAAAATATAACGATCTTCTGCCAAAGCCCCAGATCTCATTTCAGGACCTCACAAGAACTTGATGTGCATTTTGCATGAGCGAACCTTTTAGCATTAAGGCGCAGTTGTACGGTATTTCTACCTTTGGACAGAGCATAGATATGGCACTGGGGGGAGCTGCCCCACAAAACAAAGACCTTCTATTCCCATTAGGTGGCCACTAGGTGGGAAAGGAAATGTAGCATGGGACAGTGGTTGTTAAGAGTCCTCAAAATGAGACTGTCAAGAGCAACCAGATGCTTCACCCATTAAAACCGGAGTGCATCCGACTCTGAGCCTGGTGTAAGCTCCTATGTTAGTTTTCATGCATATGAACTCTCTCATTTCAAACTCGTCTAAACTTTCTCCTTAACCAAACCCTGATTTCTCTGAGTGGCAATACCACCATTCGTGATCTTGCAGACTCAAAACTTATGAGTTATCTTGGATTTCTTTCTCTTATTCAGTTGCTACATCCTATATGTCACCAATTCCATTAGGCACTACAACTACCACTGCAGTTGAGACGAACTTTCCCCAAATACCAGGCTCATTTCTAGCTCCATACCCTTGCTCTTGCTTTCCACTTCCCTAAAATGCCTCCCTGGGCCTCTCTGCCTGTCTTAGTGCTATTATAGCAGAGTCCAGGTACCGGCCTCCTCTATGAAACTTAAGAAAATTCTTGCCTCTTATGACTACTGTAACATTTATATTTAAACAAAATCACCTTACCCATTTGCTTTGCTTATTTCACAAGTCCTGTCTTCCCTGAAGCACAGTATTGTATATTGCTCAGTAGCAGGAACGATACAGTTCTGGGCACCTCAAGCTCATATACTGGTCAGGAAATGTTTTTGTGAATAGGTGTATATATATATGGTGGGCAGGGAAGGGAAACAAAGGAAGGCCACAGTCGTAGTCATGATTGGTTCTCTAGGCATAAGTCTCTAGCTATATATAATTTATAATTTATACATAATTTTTTGCCAAAGCCCCCCCTTTTTCCCATTTAGCAAATACAGCTGTTTTGCCTCTCCTTCTTCCCAAAGGTTTGGAAAAGAGAAACACAAATAAAAACCTGATAAATACAAATGTCAAAATAAAAACATACAAAAGTTTGGATTTCAAGCACAAAAGATTTAAGTGTGGCCAACAATTGTTTTTAAAAAGTGGAAACCATGTGTTAAGGGTTTCAGAACCATCTCAATTTCATAGATAAGTCCTAGCAACAACCAAAAGGTTGACATTGAAATTTGTTTTGAATGGAAAACAAAATTGTCTTGGTTACACTGACATTAAAAGGAAATAATGCCAGTGGAATAGGGGACAAAGAGACTGGAGATGATGGTCTGAGTTACCGAGTCACTACAAAGAGGCCTATGGAGTCACTATAAAATATTCTCAGAAGAAAGGCAGTGTGATGTGCTGCTGTGACCCAAAGGTCAACATGCTGGGCATCAGCAGGATGAGCCTGGGAACAACCCCTCAGCACATTATCCTGGATTTGTGTGTGCTACCATTCCGAGGGCATGCAGGCCCAGAGAAAGGCAACTGCAGTGATCACGTGACACAGAAGCCACCATATGAGCACAAATTAACAACATCCTCAGCACAAAAAAGCAAAGGCTGAGGGAGAGGGATTCTGATCAAAGCCTATAAAATCACAGGTTTCATAATGTGATTATTAGAAAACTTGCTCTCAACATTTTACTTGGTCAAATAAGTTTGGGAATCTTGGAGAGTCATAAAGTACATTAGTGTAGTAACCATTCTGGCAAGGTATGCAGTAAAGAAACTTTATGTTAACATTTCCCAAATTTATTTGACTAGAGAACATTTTATTTATTTGCACATGATACTTGTTTACAAAATTCAGGACTTCTGGAACTAAGACAAATCATCTTTTAAAACCTCAACATAGAATTAGGTGCAAGGTGCAATACAATATATGGAATATAAACTTGTGCAACTCAACTCAAAGAATACTGCCAGCTGCAAATACAAATGAATTTCAAAAATGTTTAGAAAACTGCATAACTTTATCATTGTCCCACGAGGGTTACCTTGATTTCAGGGCCAGAGAGGACACTAGCCAAGACAGACAATTTCTTAGTAAGGCATATTGTAAATTAGGTTCTAAATGGATGACATATAAGATAGAAGGGCTTCCTTAGGTAGTAATCTAAGTAAAACTATCATTTTTCCTTTACAGAATAAAATCTTTTGTGTTTTTTAAAAAAAGTATTGCTTCCTTTAATTGGCAGGTTGATGAACAGTTTTTGAACATTGATCAGTTGAATACACTTAATTTATTAGAAGTCAATTAATAAAGTTGTCAAATTACAATGAGTGAAATTACCAAGAACACAGGTCCAGGCCTGTGTATGAATCCTGAGTCTGCTACTTACTAGCTTTGTAACCTTGGATAAGTTTTAATGTTCTCTTATGTGTAAAATGAGAATTAAAGAACATATTAATCACGATTGTCTTTAGTATTTCCTATATACTTACATATATTGACTCATTTAATTTTCACAATCTTCATAGGGCAATGTGAGGTAGGCTGTATTATTATCATCCCCACTTAAAGGTGAGGAAAAGTAAGGCACAGAGAAGTTAGGTAACTTGCTCAAGGTCACACAGTGGGGAAGTTGTTGAGCTTGATTCTAACTGGGGCAGATTACATGTACCAGGAATATAGATGCTTAGTCACTAGCTTATAATAAGCTTGCCATAAATGTTAATAATTTTGTTCAACTTTAATTAAATGTCTGCAGCTGTAAAAGGCAGCCATGACCATTAAAAAAGTTAGTGAACCTCATTCTGGAATATGAGACTGACTACCACCAATAACAAACTAAAGGTATTTTTCTTCCTCAAAGTGCCTAAAGGCACTATATGCCGTAACCAAATATTAATATAATAATGAGAAGAACAGCCGTTACTGCTTCATCAGGATGGAGCATAGTAGGCACAAACAGTAATTGAAACGAGAAAATTTAGATGGGTCCAACGTAATTGCACATGAAAATTTTCCAAGCTTCATCATGATCGAATTAATTATAGAAAGATGTGCCATGTGATCCTTACAAATCTTTAGGTAAAAACAGAGACTGCTGGTGTGCACATAACAGATAGTTGCACTGGATGGGGGCCCTATGTGTGGGGAGACTTGGGTTGGAACTGACTTGGGAGAAAAGAGCAAAGCATCAACACTTCAAGTAGCAACTTGGGAATGTTCCCTTTCCAGTACTGCCATACCTGCCTGGCTTCAAAACTACACAAAGTAGAAAACCAAATCAAAGAAACGAACACGGACGGGCTGTGGAGGCGGCACGACATATATTGTGGTTTGATTTAGAGTCGCTTCCAAAATCCACGTGTGATTCCTAGACTTGTGAGTTGGAAGATCTGTACTTTTATCCTTGGCACGTTTGACATATCTCGAAATAAAATTAATGTTACATATATTTTTACTGTCTGATATGGAGACAAGGAGACCCGAGGAAACTTCCATTCTGGATACCTAAAGTGATACATCCGAACTTCAGTAAACACTGAAGTCCTCCAATTCCCCTTCCCTGTATCCAACAAATAGCTACCTAAAAGCCTTTGTAGAAAGTAGCAGCAGCCAAGCTTAAGAGTGATACTTTTTCAGATACAGTATAACACTGTTTCTGCAAAAGGTTACTCACATGAATATAATGTTTCTTGGGCTAATTAATCCGCCTTGATAACAGCTAGGTTAAAACTTCCAGGTCTCCCACCCTGGGCCACTCAAGCCAGGAACGCGACGTGAGCCCGGGGTGAGCCGAGGGGCATCCCGGGCCGAGGTCACTCGAACCGAAGTTAGAGGCAGGGGCCGGCAACCGGAAGTGGTCCAGGGAGAGTTGTACGAGATTCGGGGGCTGTGACTTGGAAATAAAACAAAATAAAATAAAACCTTAACTGTTTGGGGACTGACTTTCAAAAGAGCGTCCCCCTGGCTCAAGAGGCAGGCGTTCGCGGAGATGTCGTCGTAAAGGGCTGTCCCCCAAGCGTGTAGGCCGCGCACGGGTCTCCTTAGCGGGCGGGCAAAATGGGCGCCGGTACTCGCGAGGCGCCTGCCCAGGCGCCCGGGCGCCGCTCAGAGTACGCCCGCCTGCGGCCCCAGAGCGCCGCCTCCCTGCCACCCCCGCCGCCCGGCCTGAAGCCCGGACCGCGGCCGGCCACCGCCCTCCGCCCCGACGGCCACGCCTGCCCGAACCCTCGCGGGCGTTTCCCAGGTGCTGCTGGGGGGGCCCCGCCCCCGCGCCCCGAGGCCCGCCCCCGCGCGCCAGCCTCGCGCCCGCTGCCCCCTCCTCGCCCCCTCAGCCCCGCCCCCTCAGCCCCGCCCGCTCCCTAAGCCCCGCCCCCAAGGAACCCGCGCGCCGAAGGCCAGGCCTGGGCGGAGCGCAGGGCGCGGGCGCTGGGGAGGCTGCGCCGCAGCACCCGGTTGGTCAGAACCAAGTGGGCCCGAGGCGGACGTGAGAAGGGTCGGGCCAAGATGGCGGTGCAGGTGGTGCAGGCGGTACAGGCTGTTCATCTCGAGTCTGACGCTTTCCTCGTTTGTCTCAACCACGCTCTGAGCACAGAGAAGGAGGAGGTGATGGGGCTGTGTATAGGGGAGGTGAGTAGCTCTGTCAGCCTGGCTGGAACCCTGCAGAGCAGTCCCAGTGTCTCCCCTGGGTGGGTGCCGACAGTTCCCAGGGCTGCGGAGGCCACAGACATCCTCGATTTAGATCCTTGGACACCATTTACATGGCTCGGTCGCGGGGATCCCCGTTTCTTCTGGCCGCCTGACACTTGTTTAGTGTCCTGCGAGCCCCCAGCGGTCTGCACAGGCCCCGGGAGCCTTGCCTTTTCTCCTGTATCCTGGGGCTTCTCTTTAGATCTGCGCTTTTCGCCCGTTGACCAAAACAGCAAGGCAGTTCAGAAAGACTCTGGAGTATAATGAGGACGTCCGGGTATTGCGACGCAGCAGCTGACCACAGTTAGAACCCCTTGCCTCGCTTCGAGTCTTCCGTCTAGGGAGCAGAGACATGAACCAAAGCACTTGGAGGGTATCGAAGAGCCTAACTAGAAGGTGCGGGGCTTGAAGGAACCAAAAGTTTCCGCTGCATTGTGCTGCATAGGTGCCAGAGACGATTAGGAAATACAGTTTAGCCGTTTGCAGTTTAAAGTAATTCTCCAGTCTTTCATGCCGTGTGCATGAACACATGACCGAATTGCCATATAATCTGCATCCATGTACCTCACGCATAATGTAATCAATGTTTTCTGCTTTTTCCCACTCTAGTTGAACGATGATATAAGGTAAGACTATATTTGTTTATTCATATCCTATAATCTCTTAGTCATTGTTAACTCAAAATTAAGTCGACTTTGGCAATACTGTGTCTGGATCGTGTCTTCTTAAATTACTTATCATTACGACTCCTGGACTCCCTCAATGATACCATTTGAGTTCCACCCCAACCCTGAACTTTGGTTTCTGCCTTACCTCCTGTTCAGTTTAGATATGAGATAAACATCTTAATAAGCATTACCGTAATTGTTGCGTTTTGGGGATTAGACAGGGTCTCACTCTGTCACCTAGGCCTGAGTGCAGTACTGTGATCTCGGCTCACTGCAACCTCCACCTCCTGGGTTCAAGTGACTCTCATTCCTCAGCCTCTTGAATAGCTGGGATTACAGGTGCCCATCACCACACTCAGCAGTTTTTTTCCTTTCTGTATTTTTTGTACAGACAGGATTTCACCATGTTGGGTTGGCTGGTCTCGAACTCCTGGGCTCAAGCAGTCTGCCTGCCTCGACTTCCCAAAGTGCTGGCATTACAGACGTGAGCCACCACGTCTGGCCTTGCTCACTGTATTTCATGTTCTCTCTTTCCCCTGAAATTCCAATGAGATATCAGTAATTTTCTTCGTGACGCAGAACATATAGAGGCATTTCCCCATTTATCCATTCCTTCATGTAAATTGCCTTTCCTCCTGGTGAGCCTCACAGTTATCTCAGAGATCCCCAGTAGCTTCAATGCTTGAGGTGGTGAAACCTTTGGCTTACATTTTAATTTTAACTTCAAATCATAGCATAGTGTACTTTTCAAGCCCACCTTCTTAATATCCAGGATTCCAGGAATTTAGCTTTGTCCATGATAACTTTATACACTCAGCCATTTGTGCATGTGTCCCACATTGCTTCTAACAGATACAGAGAGTGCAGCTCTAGCCTCAGTTGAGTTTCCCTCCTCTTCTTTGGTCTCTGCTAAGATTTCATTGCAAAAACAATTGTTATTTTGCTTTAATTCCCTTTTTATATTCCAAACCCCACTTTCTTTTTTTTTCTCCTAATTTGTTCCCAATAGGAGTGACTCCAAATTTGCATATACTGGAACTGAAATGCGCACAGTTGCTGAAAAGGTACGTGTGCTAGAATTTTGCATGGTGGAAATTTGCAGTTGGGGAAAGATTTCTGCAATCCAGTGATCTCAGCCAGAGTATCTGGTTTCTGGCTGGATGAGATATTCTTTCTAGTAAAGTCAGATGAAGAGTCACTGGGAATGGGACCTAATTTTCTGTTCTTTGTAGCAAATTGTTTCTACTTGAGCAAGATTAGTAATCCCTATCAGTACCACCCTCTTGCTGCTCTCCTTGCTGTCACTACCTGTTTTCTGGCCCTTCTCCCACTTTCCTTGAGACTTTGGCATGTCATTCACATCACTATTACCTCTTTATCCCAATCCAACATGTACTCATGCAAACCTCTCTTAAACAGGCAGATTAACCATAGCATCATAGTTCTTAGTCTACGTTGACTTTCTTCCTGTTTGCACTCCTACACCACCTTTTCTGGCATACTCTACCCTTGATGGTCTAGTGCAGTGCTTCTTACCTAATCATGACATAGGACCACTTAATTTTTTCTCCAATCTGTCATAAAATGAATCACTTCCTCTTCTCCCACCGTGTTATCAGGCCACAGCTTCATCTACTTATTACTACTATGTACCAACTTTTCCACTTTAATCACTTTGCATCTCTTCCCATATCAGAGAAATAAGTTATCTTCCTGTCCAAAGCTGCAGCTTTTTCAGAGACCTTGTTTATCAGATGTTCTGTTTCTTTTCTGGATCTTTTCCCTGTCACCTGATTCTTTTCTCGTAGGATAAAAATATGTGTAAATTACTCTTATTTTCAGAAAGGAAAGCTACTTCTTAATCGTGTGTCTTCCTGTAGTCACTACTCTTATATCATTCCTTTAATAGCCAGACTTCTTAAAAGAATAAGCTACAGGCTGGGCGCGGTGGCTCAAGCCTGTAATCCCAGCACTTTGGGAGGCCGAGGCGGGTGGATTACGAGGTCAAGAGATCGAGACCATCCTGGTCAACATGGTGAAACCCCGTCTCTACTAAAAATACAAAAATTAGCTGGGCATGGTGGCGCGTGCCTGTAATCCCAGCTACCCAGGACGCTGAGGCAGGAGAATTGCCTGAACCCAGGAGGCGGAGGTTGCGGTGAGCCGAGATCGCGCCATTGCACTCCAGCCTGGGTAACAAGAGCGAAACTCCATCTCAAAAAAAAAAAAAGAATAAGCTACAGTTACTACTCTTTCACTTTCCCCAGTCAAACCCACTGAGGTCTGGTTTCTAATTCTACTTTTGATGGATTATTTCCTGGTTCTTATCTTAATCTTTCTCCTTGAATCTCTGAATTCTCCTGAGTTTTTCTTGGTTTTACTATATTGCCTTTATTCCTCTTTCCTCCTTTTCTTTATAGACTCCCCTTCTTCCTCTGTCTATGCATTAAATATTACTCATTTCTCTTAGGCACTGAAATTTCTGACTAAAGCAAGAAAGAGAGAAAGATACAATTCACCCTGGACATCAGTTACTAAGACACATTCCAAATCTTAATGATGTAATTTTATTTTTAATATTTCATGCCCTTGTCTTGAGTTTTATGTCAGTTTGTACTGCCTAAATAAGATTTTAAACTATTAGTTAAGCTGCCTTTTTAGTGTTGCATAGTGCATTTTTTATCCTTTTATTTTTAGCCTTTCTGTGTACTAGTATTTAAAATGTGTCTCTTATTAGCGGTAAATACTTTAAAAAATCCAGTGTGATAATCTTTTTAATTGGAGTATTTAGTTAAAAAACCAAACAAAAATAAATCACAAAAAAATATAATGTGAGCCATGAATGTAATCCATATACATAATTTTAATTTTTTTAGTAATCACAGTAAAAAGGAATAAATGAAATTAATTTGAAGGGTGCATTTTATTTAACCTAAGTATCTGAAATATTATTATTTTAATATGTAGTGAATATTAAGAAATGTTGAGATATTTTGTTTCTTTGTTTTCTTTTTGTGTTATCTTTGAATTCCATATGTATTTCACACTTGCTGCACATCTGAAATCAGACCGATGTTGCACAGTGAAAATCTATAGCTTGTTTTAAAAGCCTCCTCTCAGATTTCACCCTTGTCCCATCAGCATCTGATAATGCTAAGCCCACTCTTTCCCTTGGCAGTCTTGTACCATTTCTTTGTTCTGGTTTTACCTTCTTTGTCTTCCTCTCGTGCCCTTCTTTTTCTTCCCCATCCTAAATGTGGCCACACCTCTTGATTCAGGCCAAGACCTCTGCTCTCTTTCTCCACACTTAATTTGTCCACTCATAAAAGCTTTATTGATTCCTGCATTGATTCTGTTTGAGTCTAAGCTATAATCCCACTTGTCTGCTAAAAATTGCCATATTGTATATCTTTCATCCTAGATTATCTCATTTGAAAACAAGCTCATCTTCTTTCCTTCCTGACCCTTTCTAAACTTTGATCTGCCTCACATCTTCTACCTAGTTTCAGCCTTGAAACGTTAGAGTCATTTTTGGCGGTTTCCTGTCCACCGTCACCCATGGTCCATAAGCTACCAAATCTTGTAGAGTCATTCTTTTTAATGGGTCTCAAATCTGTTTCTTCCATCTCTGCCATCTGCTTAGCCCAGTACTTCATTGTTACTTCATGTACAGTTTATCTGAAATAATTTTTTTCCTTTGAGTTCATCCTGCAAATCATGGCTTGGCATTTGAAGTCTTGTGCATTCTCACTCTACCTTTCTTAGATTTGCCATCTGCCATTTCACCTTAAGCTCTGTATCCAAATCAGTCGGCTAACTTGTCTCCCAGACACCTCATTCACACTTTACTACTTCCA